GGATGGCAGCATATGTTGCTCCAAAACCTGGATGTAGCTTTCAGCATTAATGGAGCCTTCACAGATATATGACAGTTAATAATACACCCCCATACCATCAGAGAGGCTGGCTTCTGATAACAATCCAGACAGTCCTTCTCTTTGAACTGGAGGACATGAAGTCCATGATTTCCTACAACAATTAGCAATGTGGACTCATCAGACCACAGGACACTTCTCCTCTTGAGTCAGTCCATCTCAGATGAGCTCAGGTCCAGAGAAGCCGGCGGTGTTTCTGGGTGTTGCTGATACCCGGCTTTGTCTGATAGAGCTTTAACTTGTAACTGTAGAGATGGACTGTGTTCACTGACAGGTTCTCTGAGGTCTTCCTGAGCCCGTGTGTTAATATCTGTTACAGAATGATGTGGGTTTTTAATGCAGGGCTGCCTGAGGGGTCAAAGGTCACAGTCCATGTTGGTTTTCAGTCTTGAGATTCTCTGAATCTTTTGATGATATTATGGACTGCAGATGGTGAAATTGCTAAATTATTTGCGTTTGCTCACACAGTTGTTCACAAAGTGTCAAACCTCTGAATGACTGAGCCTTTCAGGGATGCTCAGTTTATCATGAGCCTCACCTGTTTCCAGTGAACCTGTTCACCTGTGAAATGATCCAAACAGGTGTTTCTGGAGCATTCCTCAACTCTCCCAGTCGTTGTTGCTCCTGCCTCGGCTGTTTTGGAATGTGTTGCAGCATCAAATTCAAAATGAGCAAATATTTGCAAAAAGCCAATAAAGTTTTTTAGTTTGAACATATTCAGTTATATTCAATTGAATATGGATAGAAAATATTTGCAAATCATCCTATTCTGTTTTTATTTGTTTTATACAATGTCCCAACTTCATTGGAATTGTGGTTGCAGTTAGACAAAGAATATTATTTATAGCTTTTCATTTATCATTTCTAAAAAATATATTTTATTACAATGCAGCAAATCATTTAAAAATAACTCTCACTAAAAATCCAACGATTTGATGTCAAAATAAGGAGAGAATACAGAAAAATATAATTAAAGTTGATTCTTTCTTGCTCTTTCCACACCAAAATCAAAGACTACTTAAAAATTCAAACTACATTTTCTTGGCTTGAAGGTTGACCAGCTGTAAATAATGCATGAAATTCAAAGGCAAAAAAGAGAAAAAACTATTTTACGTTTAAAGTATTGCCTTTAGGGCCCGGTAATATGTTAACAAGGGACAAATTTGGCCCGCAGGCCTTGAGTTTGATACATGTATTTAAGACTCAAATATGAGTCCATTTCTCTCGACAGTCCAACAACAAAGATCCAAACACAGCAGCTAATCTACAGGGTGAGCCAAAAGTCACAGGACACRCTTTTGTTTTGATCCAAGATGGTGACTTTCACTACGGCAGCCATGTTCTGAACATGGCTTTAAGACCCGCCCCCTCAGCTATTACTTTCTGGAGTATTCATATATTTAATTTTCCCGTTTTCTTTCTGTAATAAAAGGTGTTCTGAGTCTTTTATCTAAACCTGAACAGAACGGGTCAAAAAGAACAGAATCAAGGTGCTCTGATGGTCCAYTCGAAGTCCAGAACCTCAACACGACTGAAATGCTGTGGTGGAACCTTAAACCAGAGTTCAGATCTTTTAAAGMGRTCTGTGGAAAAGATATGAACAGTTAATATCTTACCTGTTGTAGATGACYCTGTGGACATTTCTGACTGGACTGATGATCCAGAGATGAGCTCTGAGTGTTTATATGAAACTTCTTTACAGCAGCAGGGTATTCAGGCAGAAACATGATGCTCCTGGAAGTGCTACAGCTGGCTGCTGCTGGCTCTCTTAAAATTGTAGGTAAATAATTATTACACAGCTATCGATGATGTAGAGGGTCTTAAAGTAACACCATGATTGGAGTTTTAACCTTTAGTTCAATCTGAGGTTGTTTAAAGAACCACCTACAGCAGGTAAGATATTAATTGTTCATAACCTTCCCACAGAACCCCACATRTAAAGATTTTAACAGTCATTTTAGGAAGCTTTTTTTTACACATATACATGCAGATTTTATGACCTGAAGCTGAAAAGGTTTTAAATCACTGAATGTATTTTTAGTCACTTTTTATGGCTTTTTGAWAAACTATTATTGGTCTTGTAATTTGTCTTGTGGTTTTAGTTATCTTAAATTGTGTTTATCTGCTTTGACAACTTGTGATTAAATATTATGTACTGATACAAAACAAATGCAAGAATATAAAAAGTGTTTATGTTATTTTTATGTTCAGTTTGTATGTTGTGTTGCTGAGCAGCAGCTTTTTGGATACGTTTCATCAGTTAAAGGTGATTTCTGCTTCTGTTGTTCAGGGATCGATTCCGGACCATGGTGAACGTGATGGGGGACGCTCTGGCTACAGGCATCATGGCTCATATCTGCAGAAAAGATTTTGTCAAAGAGGGGGAGCAGGTGAGAGCAACATTAATCAGACTGATTGATCCAGACGGTTCAGAACATCCAGATCGATTTTTTTTTGTCAGAAATGTTGTTTATGGTTGAAAACTGAGTCCCAAAAATGATTTGTTCCTTATTATCGATGTCAGCTCAGTGGAARAGATGGGGGTCTTGGTTGATCTGGACAGTTCTTTAATTATAAGTGTTCCTGCTGGTTTTATCTTCACAGTAAACCAGGAGAATCTGTTTTATCTCAGACATGAGAGAAGCTTCACTTCAGTTAGATAAAAATTAGACAGACATGTTTCCTAGAGTGTCTGTTTTTATTTGATGTTATAATTCTTAAAATTRACAAAACATTCATTCTAGCTACCATTACACAACATCTTATTACTATGTAAATGCAAAAACAAGCAAAAGCTTAAAAAGTAAGTTATGAATAATTAGCATCTTACCTGTTGCAGACAGCTTTCAGTCTGGAGAAACAATTAAAGTCTGACAGGACRAAGAACTGAAAGAACTGAATCAAATGTCCTGATGCATCTCAGTAATCCAGGTAAAAAATCAAAAAGAAAAAAAATGTATAGGTCTTCTGGACGGGTTCTTCTCTAATGAAACGTTTCGTCTCTCCTCCAACAGACTTCTTCAGTCTGAGAGTTTCAGGCAAAATTCAGGCTTTTAAGCACTGCCTCCATGTGACTGATACTCACATCACATGGCTATCGTTGACACCTAATTAACACCCATTGTTAACAGGGGTGGAGTGATACTGGCAATGGCCGCGCTGTAGGAGGGGGACAACTGAAAACGGAGGCCTCCACCTCTGTTTAATGATGGACGGTCTTTCTTRACAAAAATGGCTTCTTTTACTCCTCTCTCAAACCAACGTTCCTCTCTATCAAGAATGAGAACATCCTCATCTCTGAAAGAGTGACCTCTGGCCTGTAAATGAGTGAAAACTGCAGAGTTCTGGCCATTAGATGTAGCTCGTCTGTGTTGGGACATTCTTTTGAACAGTGGCTGCTTTGTTTCCCCGATGTATAACTGGTCGCAGTCCTCCTGGCACTTAACAGCATATACAACATTGCTCTGTTTGTGCCAGGGCACCGGATCTTGCCTGAAACTCTCAGACTGAAGAAGTCTCTTGGAGGAGAGACGAAACGTTTCATTAGAGAAGAACCCGTCCAGAAGACCTATACAATTTTTTTCTTTTTGACTTCAAGAACTGGTTCGTTCTTTTCTCAGTTCAGTTGAGCTCAGTGTGAGCGTGCAGGTTGGAAGTGACATTTCCTCATCTGTCACTCATTCGTGAATCTGTACGACACAGTGACAAAATTTCCAAGCCACACCATCTTCATTTAGTTTGTTGACAGCACAATGAATCTTGGGATGTTGTTGGCTGTGTAGGACACTCAGATGTAGGTCTTGTTTTCTGGTTTTGTTGGCCACATGAGAAGGAACCTATGGAATGGGACAGCCTTCGGCTTGGGGCAGTGATTTGAGCAGCATGTGGGCTGCAACCCCTGAATTGAGACACATACAGAGAGGGGAGTGATTTGTTCAATAAACAAACTGCCTGTTCATGCTGTCACTCGCCTGTGACACAGAGAACTGCTGCTGAGGAGTGATTCAGTCACACTGTCACTGACTCAAGATTCACAAACAAAAAGAACTGTCACTGAGGAATGATTCCGTCACACTGTCACCAATTTTTTTTTTTTTTACTGTACAAATGAACTGCATGAACCTGCAGATTCTGAGAACACATTTCTGAACAAATCGTTTTAATGAACTTATTGCAGGGATTCCGTATACTCAGAAGAGCTGTCATTCCCATCACTACAGAAGGTTTAGGGTTTTATCTAGTTTGCAGAAACTTGTCCCGCTGTATTTTAATCTCTGTCACAGCAGGTGGTACTAAACTAATGCACTTTGTGAAAACCTTCACAAAGACAACCATTGCACATTTTATGCTTATTTCTGTGAAAAATTATGTCAGCATAAATGTTTCTTGTTTAAATTAGCCACTGTTATTTATTTATTTATTAATAACCTTTATTTAACTCGGCAAAGCCCAAGGCAGCATAGCATTATGTGTTTTCTTTTCTTTTTCTTCTTTTTGTCTGACTATTACTCCATGTTTGAAACTCGTGCTGTTTTAGTTCAGCAGCATCTGGTCTTTGTGTTTAGACTAGCCTTTAGCTCYTCTAAATTCTGTCTTGTCCTCTTCCTGTTTTTCAGGTGCCTCTGATCTGTGAAACYAAACCCATGATAAGCATCCAGCAGATGATGACGTACCAGAACCAGAAGAACGGCTGCTACCAGCCCCCACCGGGCAGCAAGCAGGACCACCTCTCACCAGAAGTGGCCCGTCTGATCCAGCTGGAGGAGGGCATCCGGCCGGTGGAGAAGAAGAAGCACGCTCACCACGGGCCCCATCACAAGCGAGAGCACAGAGACAAGGACCACTGTTCTGTGGACATGAACGGACTGGAGACAAACGTATAAAAGCAGCTGCAGGTCCTGGTCCACGCTGATCCACGAGGAGACTCGTTAAAGAGCCGGGGAGACCTCTTTGTGGTCACGTGGTCCTCAAACACGTGATCAACCTCGAGTGGACTTCTGCAAAGGAAAAAAACGACTTTTTTTTCTACATAACATGCACGATGACCCACATTTGGTGATGTTTTGGTGTAAATATTTGTCATTTTTAGCAGCAGCAGTGACTTTCTGCTGCTCTGAGGAACATCTGAAATCAGGATCCTGAGGACTCAGTTTTTAATGCAGTGGAGCCGGAGAACAGGATATATATAAGATATATCAGATTTAATTAAAGCTCATGTTTCTCTGTGGACTGAAGACAAACCAAAAAGCATCATATATTGATKTTTTTATTCTTATCTCATATATATGTGGAATGTTTTACCCTATAATCACAGGGTTTTTTTAATCAGTCTTTCATTATTTTGTTCGTTTTCCTAAAGATAAACATAAAATAATCCTGCCGCTTATAAGTTAACCTTTAGTCAGAGAACTAGTAAAACATACGAACGTACTGAACTGTGCATCAAAGCTTTATTGCAACAGCTTCGATCAACATGCATGACAGATATCTGTTAGTTGCTGAGGTTTAAATTTCCTCGGACTGTTCCTCGCCGTCGTCTTCTCTGCCTTGTTGTCCTGAGTGGCTCCTCTGCCTCGACCCTGCAGTTCAAAGAGAATGAAGACCTCCAGAAACAAGCAGGAGGTCCGGCTCCTCGGTCATGTCATGTTGTGTTTTGCACCCTGCTGTATTTATTCCCTCTTTGCCTTAAAGGAGAAGCATTCAGGAAGCTGAACGAGCCGACACGACCGCACTCACTGACACCAAACGTTTCGGCCCACAGGCAGGGTGGGGAAATGAAACCCTGACTTTATTTCAGTGATTATGTCAGATAAACAGAAAGTAGAGGTGGCTGCTGACGTGTTGTCAGTGGGACGTGGTGCCCACCGCCCCTGATTCTAAATCCAAGCTGGGTTCATTGCAGCAGCTGAGCTGATCTCAGACTGGACCACGAGACAGGAAGTAGACACGTGGTGATAAACTGGATCAGAGTGCTGATGTCCCAGGAGGACATGCAGACAAATCTGGGCCATCAGGGTCCAAAGCCTAACAAATCTTTTATATCATTGTATTTTGTCAAAATATAATGATTAAARGAACGGGTAGATTAAATAAAATATCTGAAACATCATCAATAAATAATTTTTTGAAGTCCTTTCTGAGCAGTAGCTGCTGAAAAATTTATTGTGAGCAGAAAAGCTTTACATTTTGTTCATTTTTTCCTGCAAACTGTTAAAGCTTTTTGTGTTTCCAGCTGGGAAATCTCCATTTCCAAAAACATTGTTTGAGGTTTCCTCTTCATAAAGTCAAAAATTTCTCATTACAATAAACTAAAAGTAGGATTCAGACCAAACATCAATGGGTCATCCTGAYTAAAAATACAAATGAAAACATCTTAGGATGATCCAGGTATCAGAATGTATTTTATAAAGTAAGAATTTGAAAATGTGAGGTCACTTTGACTAAATATGACTTAATCCTCAGTTTGGTGTGATGGGTTCAGTCCGGGCACCACTACAAACACAGGAGGTGATCAGTTGTAGAAACATGAACAGGATGGAAGAGAAGGWTGTAAAAAGTCCAGCACCTGGATGTTTGGTGCACTAAACGCAGTTCTCCTGTGTGGTCCAGTTTAAGTGAGCAGAAGCTTCATGTGAATGTTGCAGTATGAGGGCCAAAAGTAAAATTATTGCGCAACAGGGAGTTGCAACGTTCTTGTAGCAGGAGGCAATGTCTATCCCTGGTGGTACATTCACACCGAACGTTTACATGCAAAGTCTATGGTGGACGCGCCTCTACGGGTCTTGCGGCGCYTCAGGTCCGTTTAGCGCAGCGCYCAAGGAATGTMGAAGGTGCGGCAGAGCATTTTCCGTGCAGCGAAAGCAGCCGTCGCCCAAGTTAAAAATACCTGATCTTTCGCCGCTCGACGCGTCTTGACAWCCAATCAGGGAGYCTCATTTTTCCACGTGACAGTTTGCCCACTAAACCAAAACAGACTGYCAGCAGCTCTTTAGCTGAAATCGACCATCTGCAGTTGATGTTCTGGCAGGAGATACCAGCACCGATGCGGGTCAGCAGCTTGTTAAACTGACCGCGGTGTTAAACTGGGCTCGGGACAAAAAATTGTCCGTCAGCTCGCAGCTCCTGGAGTGGTGAAACTAACCAAACAAACCGCCTCTAAATTATCTGGTGAATTAATCATCTGCTGTGCGCAACATTCGTTTGTTATTTAGTAAATAAAGCAAAGCCATTTTCTTTATTTTATCTTTATGTCATCCACCGAACACAGACCGGATAAAAACCAAGACACTCCTCCCTCTTCAGCCACGCGTCTAGTCTCTGTCCCGTTCTGAACGTAGCGTGTCCAACTGGAGGCATTGGGTGTTTTTTTGCTGCTCAATACGTGTTCGGTATGAACGTAACATAAGGCAGCTGTTGATCTGATTAATGATAAGTCGACACCYATAACTGAGCAGCTGGACCTGGTAACTGAGAGGCRGGAACTGGCAAATGAGAAGAAGACAGGTAGGGAGTTGGCAATCCATTAGGTCATTAGCCTCTCCAACGCTAACACCAGCCTATCCATGCTAGTTGCTAGACTCTCTGATGCTAACACCAACTTAACCATGCTAGTTGATAGCCTCTCCAATGCTAACACCAGTTTATCCATGCTAGTCGCTAGCCTCTCCAATGCTAATGCCAGATTATCCACGCTAATCGCTAGCCTCTCCAATGCTAATGCCAGCTTTTCCATGTGACTCGCTAGCCTCTCAGATGCTAACACAAGCTTATCACTGCTAATTACTAGCCTCTCCAATGCTAACATCAGCCTATCCATGCTAGTTGCTAGACTCTGTGATGCTAACGCCAGCTTATGCATGCTAGTTGATAGCCTCTCCAATGCTAATACAGCTTATCCATGCTAGTCGCTAGCCTCTCCAATGCTAACGCCAAATTATCCATGCTAATCGCTAGCCTCTCCAATGCTAATGCCAGCTTATCCATGTGACTCGCTAGCCTCTCAAATGCTAACACAAGCTTATCACTGCTAATTGCTAGCCTCTCTGATGCTAACACCAGCTTTTCCATGATAGTTGCTAGCCTTTCCAATGCAAACGCCTACTTTTCCATGCTAGTCACTAGGCTCTCTGATGCTTATTAGCTTATCCATGCTAGTCGCTAGCATTTCTGATGCTAACACAAGCTTATCCATGCTAGTTGCTAGATTCTCCAACGCTAATGTCAGCTTATCCATGCTAGTCGCTAGCCTCTCAGATGCTAACACAAACTTATCCATGCTAGTCACTGGCCTCTCCAATGCTAATGCCAGCTAATTCATGCTAGTCGCTAGCCTCTTCGATGCTAACACAAGCTTATCCATGCTAGTTGCTAGCCTCTTCAATGCTGACACAAACGAATAGTCTCCTTCTCATTTGCCAGTGCCGGCCTCTCAGTTACTGTGCCAGCCTATCATTAATCAGATCAATAGCTGGTTTAGGAATATATAGCCTCCCGCTACAAAGCTGTAGCAACCAATGGTTGTGCAATAGTCCTAATTTTNCTACAAAGCTGTAGCAACCAATGGTTGTGCAATAGTCCTAATTTTGCCCTCATGCTGTGACATACACAGTGTGTGTGGGTACCACCGTGTCGGTGCGCCCCTCAAACCAGACGTAGAGGATGCCTGCTGGCAGTTCTCTCTACAGGTCATCTCTGTTTCAGTGACCTTTCCTCWCTATTTAACTGGCAGACACACCAGCACATGCCTGATAAAACTATGATCCCAACATTTGTACCACCTCGTGTCAGTTCTAGACAAGTCAGGTCCCAGAACCGAGTCATTTATAAACCCACCACAGAACGAATGAGATCCAAACAGACCAGTTCCCTCCCGGTGCTGAACCTTTGGGTCAGTGAGTGTCGAGCTCTGAACTCTGCTCATGTCTGTGTTCTATGCTGTACATGTTTGTCATTTTAAAAATAAGATATTTAATGAAACAAAAGGTGTAGATTTTAACTTCATTTCAGTTTGTTTCAGGAGCTGCCATTCTGTGTTTGTTCCAACAAAATGTTTAATGTAAATTAAAATTTATGGAAATGTATCAACTGCATATAATGGCAAAGAAAGAAAAATATATGAATATATAGAAATATTGAGTTGTTTGGGGGTT